AGAGGGACAGCTTGAGGCTCTGTCTCAAAAAAAAAAAAAAAACCAGAAACCAAATTAAATTTGCTAGTGAAAGTATTCAAACTGGCCAAAAGAGTAACCATATAATATTTTAATGCATACTTTGAGCTTGACACATTTCATTTTAAAAAATTGATATATTTATCAATGCATTCACTTATTTTCCAAATGAGTGGGACTTTTTGTACTAAAATATGATCTCCTTGAATACAGGGATTAGACTATAAACTATAAGGTCCTTTATGGTAACCACACGTGCTTTATTCATTATTGTCTACTCAGCTCCTAGTACAATGCATGACAAGTAATACACACAACAAATATCTACTTAATAATAACCTTCAATGATGAAAATATTCAGAAAAGAATCCTCTTCACAATTATTTGTGGATCCCAACTGTATCAAATTTTAGACAACTACTTTGTTAAAATCATCTTAAACTACTTTAAGGTTAAAGATTAAGATTAAAAACAGTTTTAAGAATACTATCATACAGTAGAAAAACACTGAATAAAGGGCTTCTTTTACTGTATGACATTCCAGCTGATAATATGTAAACTAACTTCACCATTTAAAAATAGTATCTAAATTATCTAGTTTAAAGAATACCTTTTCCAGGACTTGTTTATAGGACGAGTGTTCTATAGAACATACTCTGGAAAACAACGGTATATAGTGGAAAGACTCTTCTTTAGTGTTAACTAAATAAGGAAACAGAGATGGGTATTTAATTTTCTAAGATCTAATTTTTGATTTTTGTCTAATTGCAGGAAAACAATGGAAAAACTGTAAAGTCTCAGTAAAATACTTTATAAAACAATGACATACGTTTTGCATCAACTTCAATTAAGAAGTTTTTTGTTTTTTTTTTTTTTTTGAGACAGAGCCTCAAGCTGAGCCCCTGGGTAGAGTGCCATGGCTTCACTGCTCACAGCAACCTCCAACTCCTGGCCTCAAGCAAGTCTCCTGCCTCAGCCTCCCAAGTAGCTGGGACCACAGGCGCCCGCCACAACGCCTGGTTATTTTTTGGTTGCAACCATTATTGTTGTTTGGCAGGCCTGGGCTGGATTCGAACCCGCCACCTTAGGTGTATGTAGCTGGTGCCTTAGCCGCTTGACGCGCCGAGCCAAGAAGTTATTTTTCACCTTGAATTTCAAGATTCACGTAGAATAAATTTATCGCTCATTCGTAAAAAGTGTTTCAGATAAGATATGAATTACTGTAAGAAATCATAACGTATTACCAGGAGCAGGAAGCTTGTCTGATAACTGATGCAAATTTTCTGCAGACTCTTCATAAAGGCTAAAAGGGTAAGTTAGAAAAAAAATACAAATACATGTTACATATAATCGTAATAGTTAATTTAAACTAAAAGCATCCCCGTGCCAGACAGTGTTAAGTAGGCTAGATGTTCTGTCTCATTTGATCCTGATGACAATCCCATGATGTATAACACTATTACTATTAATATCTCCACTGTAAAAAACTTGCCTAAAGTTACATAACTAGTATGTATGAAAGTCATGATTCAAACCCTGAGTGTAAGTTCTTACCCATACTCAATAAAAAAAAGAAATAAAATTCCATAAATTATATCTAGTATATTAAATATAAATCTTAACTAAAAGATCAAAAATTTTTTGGAATCTTAAAAGGAAATGCTAAGTATTTAATAAAGAAGGATATAACTTTTCTTTCAATAGCATTTAACAGCCCTTACTGAAAAATACGGTATCCTCTTCAGAATCTTCAAAACCTGTTTGTTTTGTCCATATGGTGAAATTTTTTTCATAATAGCTTATTATATATCATAAAGGTACTTCAATCCTTTATTATAAGCCCACAATTATCTAAAAAACTTAAGATATTTCTCATAGGATGTATGAAATATAAAAGAAAAAAGAAACTAAAGGTATCTTATGTTAAACTCTAGTTTTCAGGCTCCCTCTTGTGGAAATAATAGGTCACTTAGCAGAAATATGTACTTTTATATTTGTCATCCTATAATAGTGGTAGAAAAGCAAATGGTATGATAAAAGCTTTTAAGGGTGTATGAAAGCCCCTAAAAAAATCATCTAAAAGGAGCCTAATACTTTATGGATGAGAAAACAAAGATCCAGAGAAGTTAAACAAATAGCTAAAGTCCATTTCTACCAATCCCTGGTTCAAAAACTTTTCCCTGGTTTAAAAACTTTTCCCTGGTTCTACAAGACCTTCCTTCCTTAATCAGTACAAACAAATATGATCTGGAAAAAAGGAAAATGAACTGTTTTAAGTCTGAAGTTATTTACAAATGTATTACAATACGTGAATTCTAAAACAAAACAAAAGCAATCTTTTGTCATGAAATATTTAACGTTATGGAAGAATAAAGTCAAATGTATTAACTATTAATCAGAGATGAGATATTCCATGAAAAAATATTATTATCACAACTTATGTCACCTGGATCAACTTATATACTGGACTACAATTCAAAAAACCTAAAAGAAAACTCAATCATGTATATATTCCTCAAAAACTCTTTATGAATTTTAAAAGTTATATGAAAATACACATAAATCGAATGTGTAAAATCACACAAGTCAGCCTGAAATAGAAAAATAAAAATGATACATTAGTTTGAATGTTAGCTATTAATACTAAATAACATTTCTTTGTAAGCTCTTAAATTACAATCTATCAGGCAGAATTTATCTTCAAGGAAGCAACATATTAATTGAAGCATAACTTTTATGATTTTTGAAATTATGTAAGTTTAAGAAAAAAAAACTTTCAGATATCAATTTTTGCATTTTAAAGAACGCTACCCAGATAAAAGGCTCAAATTGCCTAATGTCTTCCAAAATTAAGAATTAAAAATTTTAATTAATTAGAATCTCTTTAGTATAATTGCTGAAATATGTAATCTTCATCCTCATTGCGTAAAATAACTATCGAATGTCACAGACTGTAAATAAAGTATAAAAACGATATAAGCATACTCAGCCAAGGATAACGATTCCCTGCTATTACTATCTTCTTCTTCAAAACATTCAACAGCACTCAAACATTCTTCAGTATTTGTTTGAAGAACATCTTCAATTTTGTCATTTTCCATATCAAAATGTATCTCTTGCCAATCAGAACTACAAAACTAATAAATTTAAAAATTGCATTACATAATGGATTTATGCAATTAGCAAAGACATTCACAGATAGGTGTCTTTTAATTTGTATTACCTGATAAAAGCCACATACTGCCTGCACTGCAAAGAACCACTTCTTGGAACCAGGTATACCGCCCACTGAACACGCTTGAAAACAAAATCACACTTATTAGAAGAAACATCACAAATTAGCAGACATCACAGCATATATACTATACTTAAAAATTAAGTAATTATGAAATATATAGCCAAGTTTTATATACACACATAGTTTTTTTTTAAATCTGTTAAAATATCAAACAGAACAATCTGCATATAAAACAAAATTATTTATTCAAAGAATACTATGCTTTAGTTCAGGGGTGTCCAATCTTTTTTTTCCCTCTGCTGTACGTTGGAAGAAGAAGAGTTGTCTTGGGCTACACACTAAATACACAAACACTAATAAAAGAGGATTAGTCAAAAAAAAAAAAAGGTCAGTGCATACTTTTCATGATATCCCATACCACACATAAGCAAAAAAAAAAAAAAATCCTCACAAAATCAGCATGCGGCCCACAAGCCAAAAGTTGAATACACTTGCTTTAGTTTATCACAATTCAAAATCTATATTATTATTTTAGTCATCAATTCAAACAGATTAAAATCCCCCATAAACATGATGAAAGTACACCTACTAAATCACTATTGAGTACCACAAAACCATCCATGTCATTTTAGTGAAAACAATTCACTTTCCAAAGACTATGTAGGTTGGTTCAGCCTGGCTAGACAGAAGAGTTGAAGACTTTGTTTTGGCACCTCCAGTTTCCTGATGTTAAACTCTAGTTTTAAGGAACTTTAAGGAACATTCTCAGATAAAGGATAAGATAAGGAAGTAAAAGAGAAGATAACAAGGTTAAGTAGATACATTTGTATAATGTTAATTGACAGTAAAGCAGGAAAGATTTTTACAAAGGAACAGTCAAAAAAGTGAAATACTTCAAAAAGTCAAAGCAGGTAAGAATAAAGACTATTGTGTTTAGCAATTATGAAATACCTTGAAGAGGATCAGTGAAGAGTTAAGAACAGAAAAACAATAGTAAGGAAGTCAGTGTGGGAGCATCATTAATGTATTTTTACTCAGGACAAGATCCTTCTCCTAATGACATAATGGACAAGCAAATTTCATAAAGGGAGCAAAACTCAAGCTGACAGCCTAGCATAAATTTCCTAACAACTTCACAATATTGAAGCATTAGAAGAAAGGGATAATGTCGTTTCTAGTTTTGTAGTCCTAGTCCCTTAGTTACCTCCTTGCACTCCCAAGTGACCAAATTGATTAATTTCCAATACAAAAGATGTACCAGAAAAAAAGAGAGGTTTATGCTATACTTACCAGGAAAAGTACTATCTTCAGGATTAACTGAAGCGCTAATGTTTCTTTTCAGAAGGTGATAAACATTTGATGCTGTTAAGTCTGAAAAGGAAAAAGACATATCAACTCTAAAGGGCTCGAGAATTAAGCAATTTCACCATGAGAGACTCTCAAGATCAATCAGTTGTACATAAAATAACTAACTACACACCGCTCAAGATCTGTTAAATTTTGATACAGTAAATCTAAAGAAGGGAGAGAAAACAGAAAAGGCTTTTGATTGGTACATGCCAACCAGATAACACAAATCCCAAATTCTCCCCCAAAAATAATTTTTAAAAAGGGAGCTCTGTCACCGTATCTTTTACACAAACACATACATTTCCTCCCCCAAATGCCTGTTCCATCGAAACAAATGAAAAATAAAATGCAATATAGTGTCTAGACAGGAGCATCAAAAGGCAGCGCCATTGCAAACAGTTTAAATCATTTAAAATTGATTGTTATGATAACGAAGGATATCTCCTTCCATTACAATATAAACTCTTGGACAAAAAGACCCTTATCCATCTTGTTTCTTTGTGTATTATGCGCATGTGAAACACAAAAGCAGAAATACCTAATGAACGCATACGTTTTGAAAGAGCAGCAAATTCCATTACTAAGGCACAGGAAATTTATTGTGCCCAAAACGCGTGAATGCTAGAATGTTGTAGCCCACAGATTTGTCGTTGGTTTTCCAGGAAAATTATATTTTTTCAGGCTTCATTAGATCCATCCCAGATAGACTCATAGCTCTGAGGGACAACTAGATTAAGGCTCCCCCACCCCCAGCAGAACTCAATGACAAAATTCTCCCCCGCCGCTTCCCGCCCTTTTTCAACCTGGCGCTTACCCGGCCGCTTCTCAGTACCCTCGACAGGCGGCACTTCTGGCCCATACTCCGCCTCTCCACTCGCCACCGACCGGATTCCTCCTTCCCCCCAGACCACCAGCAGCAGGTACCGATCCATGTCTTCAGGGGTCACTCCGGGTGTGAAGTCTCCGCTTCCACATCTAAACAACCGCGCGCTGTGACGCGCTTCCGGTTCCCATCGCCTGGGGCGGCTGGGAATTGTGTCCTCCGTCGATTTTCCTCGGTTTTCCAACAAGTGAGTTGTTTTCAGGAGCTATTTCCTCAATTATTGTATTATTTACTTTTACATGACGAAACTGCTACTATAGGGAGATCAAAAGGGACCTAGGAATGAAGGAGAAAAAGAAGAGTGTTGACGGAACTGTCACGCTTAGGTATATGCGTTTCCGCCGAGCCAGTACTGCCGAGTGACCCGGCGTGGCTACTAGAAGGGAAGGAAGGTCTGGCTGGTGGGGAAAATATGTCGAGTTTCTCCAGGGCGCCGCAGGTGAGCTGGGACTCATGTGGCTTGCTGGGGATGGCGTTCATGATGCTGGCAGAAGGACAGAGAATGTTTGGGGGAACTCAGTAGTGAAGCTTACTTGGCAGGGAAGCTGAGATTGTCGGCCAGGATGAGCTTTGGGAAGGAAGGCAAAAAAAAAAAAGATTGTCAGTCTGGCAACCACTTTTTTTCTTTTAGTACACTTCTCCTCTTCTTTTCAGACAGCCCTTTTTTCCTGTCTTTTTCCCAGGAAAGAGTATTAGGAGAGAAGGTCAAAGAAGGTGGACTACATAGGGTATCGCAGACCATTTAAGAATTTGATTGTTGACTGCGTAAACTGAGTCTCTTTTGGAAGTTCTTGATCCGAGGAGTAATGTGATCTAACATAGGTGTTAAAAGGACCACTGTGGCTACTGGGTCGAAACACATTGTTCAGAAATGAGAGTTAATGAAGTACAGAGGCCAGGAACATGTTTGGGGGTATTGCAGTAATCCAGCCTAGATGCGATGGTGCACAAATCAGGCCAGTAACAACTGTGGGATATTGAAAACGGTTCCGATTTTGTTTCCTATGGAGCCATTAGAATTTCCTCCAGGACTGAATGTGGTCTGATAACAAAAGAAGAAACAAGGATTATTCCAAGATCCTTTGCTTTGAACAGCTGGAAAGGTGAGGTTGAAGCAAGTTTCAGGTGAAGAGTTAGTTTTGGATTTGTTGGTCTAAGAAGACTCGGCCCAGTGCTGCAGTGTGATTCTCTCCTCAGACTCTTTGTTGCCTCTCTGTGAAGAGGTAAATACATGAAATAAAATTGAACATTTAAAAACTTTTGCAGCAATTTGATATTGTGGCAACATTTGTATTTTTTTAGCCGAAGTATTTTTTTTTCTGTCAACGTATCGAAGTATTTATTAATTTTCAATGAATAGGGAAAATTTTGCTTATGGAAAGGCTGGTATGAAGTTTATGATAATTAAATTTAAAAAACTTGGGAGGCTGAGGCAAGAAAATCTCTTGAGCCCAAGAGTTTGAGATTGCTGTGAGCTGTGATACCAGAACATTCTACCCAGGATAACAAAGTGAGACAGAGTCACACTCAAAAATAATAAAAATAAATATAGACAAATAAATAAACTCAGCTATCCTAGTTGTAATTTACCCAGCATTGTTTAAACTCTTGTGTATGTGCATAGAAAACATTCGGTCCCGATATTCTGGGCTAGAATTATTCTTAGAGTTTAAAGACATTGATGAATACTACAAAAACAGCAGTCTATTTCTGAGGCAACCTAAAGATGTCTGCCTCAGGCAGCTTTTTAAACTTTAAATTTATTCAGCGTCATTCATCTTTATTTCCCCGACTACATTGTTCTGTTTAACACTTCTCCGGAATTGAACTCCTGAAATCAACTTCAATTTCAAATTAACCAGTCTGTTTCAATATAGTTTACCTACTAATCTCAAAATGTTTTTGAAAACCTTAATAAGCAGCTGTTACTTTCCTATGAGCTCATTACTCCTTAAGATTTTATGCTATGTGATACAAAAAGTATAAATTATAATGTAAAGGGGATATATTTTTGTAATGTTTTTAAGAAGACATGAGGTCATACTAATAGAAAAACAGACAGGGAAAATTACTGTGTTTACCTTTGCAGAATAATGAGAAGAGACCCCTGTGCTAGAAATAGAAATGGAAGCAAAACAATTCTTTAGTGAGTTTTTTTCGAAAGTAATTGTTGACATTAACTATAAAGTACATGTGATAGTACGTAATAATGAATTATAATAAATTCAATTACTGTGTTTCCATTTTAATTAGAATTTTTTTTTGTTCCCTCTCTCATTTTTTCAAGCAATGGGCCACTTTTGCTCGAATGTGGTATCTCCTTGATGGGAAAATGCAGCCCCCTGGCAAACTTGCTGCTGTGGCATGCATAAAACTTCAAGGATTACATAAACCTGTGTACCATCCACGAAGTAAGTATCATTTGAGACCTGTCATTAACCGTCATTTTTATCCCAGAGTAGAATCTTGAATGAAATTTGACTGGACTCCATTGAGGAACCCTCCCCACTCCACCCTCCTTTTTTTTCTAAGGATCCTTTCTTCCATTTTTTAAAGAAAGCCCGCTAGCATAATATACTGAATTTGGCTTATTCATGGAACAACCATATGGACCAGTTTGTCTGGGACAAACCCAATTTATACCACTGCCCAGCAAAATTATCAGTAGCCCTTTCTTTTTTTTTTTTTTTAGACAGAGCCTCAAGCTATCCCCCTGGGTAGAGTGCCATGGCATCACAGCTCACAGCAACCTCCAACTTCTGGGCTCAAGCAAGTCTCCTGCCTCAGCCTCCCATGTAGCTGGGACTACAGGTGCCCGCCACAACGTCTGGCCATTTTTTGGTTGCAGCCATCATTGTTGTTTGGTGGGCCCGGGCTGGGGATTCGAACCCGCCACCTTAGGTGTATGTGGCTGGCGCCTTAGCCGCTTGAGCCACAGGCGCCGAGCCCAGTAGCCCTTTCTTTTGCTCTCAGAAATGTCTTGACTTGTACCATGAATTTTAATGTTCACTTTTACACATGTCTTTTCACATCATGACATGCATCTGAATTCAGGAGCTTTTGGAAAGGGAAATAATCTTGTCCTCTTTTCTAAAAATCCTTTTGCCTGGGAAGACATATAGAACTAGCTTGGTATATAAAGCTTACTTTTTCCTGTTTTGAATGAATAGATTTGCTTTTCTTTATCATTCTTCTAAAACAAAACAAAAAGTTTTCAGGCCAGAAGAGTTCTGCTTATAGTTTTGATTGACTTCATTTGCCTGAACTTTTCCCTGCCAAATACAAATAGCAGTATTTAGTCCTAATCTTGCTTGACCTTTCAACAGCATTTACTGCAATTGGTCACACTTTTATTCAACTTTTTATTATATAAAGGTATATATAAAAATATATGTGTATTTTAAAGAAAATGAACAATATTGGTTGTAATGATGAAATAAATACCTATACACTCAACATTTGTGTTCTTTCCGGCTTTTTTGCCATTACAAGCAATGCTTTCTTCCTGTGCACACATGGAAACATTTTTTCCAAGGTATCGCCAAAGGACAGGAGTTACTGGGTTTTAAGGTACATGGAAGGTATTCAGTCTTTAAGCCAATGTCCTGCCCTGCCAGCAGTATATAACAGTTTCTGTTACTCTTCATCTTGAGAAACACTTGATATTTTCATTCTTTTTAATTGTGACTATTCTGGTAGATGGGAAATCCTCACTTTGTGGTTTTACTTTGTATTTTTCTGATTACAAATATGGCAAGAACCTTTTCATTTATTTATTGGCCTTTACAGTTTCCTCTTCTGTGAAATGTCTATGCATATCTTTTGTATCTCTCCCTTGTACTCTTAACTTTAAACTGCTGTACTCTGTATTACATGCCATTTTCCAGTGAGTTGTTTGTTTTTTCTTTTGTATTACTGTTATTATGGAGATTTTCAATAATAATGATCAAACTTTCAGAAGTGATCAAATTAAAGTACATTTCTTTATATGTTCAACCTGAATTACATAATTGTTAACATTTTACCATATATTCAACCATTTAAAAACAAGTGTCAGATATTATTATATGTCCACCTAAATACTTCAGCATATATCTCTTAAGAATAAAGATAATATCCTATGTAACCAAAATGTTATTGTCACACCTGAGAAAATAATTTAACTATGTAGTCTAATGTCCAGGTCATTTTTTAAATTTCCCTACTAGTCCTAGAGTGTTTCTAATAGTTTTTTTTTTCGTTTGAACTAGGATCCAGCCAAAGTTTATGTATTGCTTTTGGTTCCTATGTTCCTTTACAGTCTCTTTTAATCTAGAAAATTCCTCTTATTTTCTTGACATTAACCTTTTGAGGAGTCCAGGCTAATTTTCATATAGATAACTTTGTTCTTGAAACACATTCTTTTCTTGTTTCCCTTCATGCCAATCTCTGTTTTTCCTTCTCCATAACTCTCTGTCCCCTTTGCTATCTTCAACTTTCTAAACTCCCAATTGTTTTTCTCTCACTAAATATTGGGAATTCCTCAGTCCTATCTGTGGACCTCTTCTTGTTCCTTAGATGATCATATTTCATTTCGTGTCTCTAAAAATCATCTGTGTGCTAATGCCTCCCAAATTCATGTCTCCAGTTTTAACATCTTCCCTATCTTGTACATTCACATAACAAAGTTTCTGCTAAGCAGATCCCCTTGGGTGCCTAGTAGACACCTCCAATGAATAAGTCCTTTTGGAGATGTCTTGTTTCCTGCTCTTCTCCATTCAAACTAACCTGTTCTTTCATACTTTTCCTCGTCTTAACTAATAGCATCTCTGTTTTTAGTGGCTCTGGTTCATCTGTGACCCTACTTTGTTCAACCATAAATATATGTATATACATACACACAAACAGAGAGAGAGGGTACCAAAAAAAATGTATACACATTATAAGCAAAGTTATCCATGGATATATTTTGAGCACTTCTTGTAATTGCATAAGTCAAGTGTGGCTTGTATTTATCTTTTTTATTGGTATATATTAAGTATTACATTTTCAATACAACTTGTTTTTTTTTTTTCTTAAAATCTATGTACATTTTCTTGGCATCCTTTGTATGCATTTGTGTCTATAATATATAGAGAGGCATAGTATATATATAATATTAGAAAAAATAAAATAATATACCTGAACTCTGGCAACTCTCATTATCTGTCCCTTCTACTCTAAATTCAAACTGCTGTAATCTTTTTTTACAGTCTTGTCCTATTGCTCCTGCTTAGAGTGCAGTGGCATCAGCCTATCTCACCGTAACCTCAAACTCCTGGACTCAAGCAATCCTTCTGCCTCAACCTCTTGAGTAGCTGGGACTACAGGCGCCTGCCACCATGTGTGGCTATTTTTTTCTATTTTTAGTTGCGACAGTGTCTCTGTCTTGCCGAGGCTGGTGTCCTACTCCTTGCCCTCAAGTGATCCTTCCCCCTCAGCCTCCTAAAGTGCTGGTATTACAAACTTGAGCCACCTCACCCAGCCTATCGTATTTTATTCCAAAAGCTCTGCCTTGATCTCTCTGCATCTGCCTTTGCCTGCATATAGGCTTTCCTCCAAGATCAGCTATCTTTCCACACGAAAGTCCGAGTAAAAGTCAAAGTTCTGCCAGTGCCCTATAAGGACTTACTACCTTTCTGATTTTATTTCTTACCGCTATCCCTTGAGCAATCCACTTAGGCCTGTTGCTGTTCTATTAACTTGCCTATAGAGCATGTTTTTAACTCTACACGCTGTTCACATTCTGTTCTCTGCCTGTTTACTGTTTCTCAGATACCTGCATGGCTTACTCCTTCATGACTTTCAGATTTCTGCTCTATTGTTTATATTCTGACAGAAGCTTCTCTCATTCCTGTATCTGCTCACTCTTTCACTCTCTATCTTTACCTTTAAAAAAAAAACAGCATTCGTGTATTCCCTGACAGGTAAATGTTTATTATTTACCTTTCTTCACTAGACTAAGTTCCAAGAAGACAGGAACTTTGCCTGTTTTGTTTATAGCTGTATCCCCAGTGCGTATAGTAGTGTTTGGCACGTACTTGAAATGTGAGAAATGTTTCTTGTGTGAATGCTTGCATTTAAGAATTCCATTTTCAAAAGTGAAGAAAATACTTCTAGCCAGGGCTCTGGCATTTCAGCTATGTTAAATTTTTGGATTTATGGAGCTAGGAAGGAAGAATATTCCAGATGATTTAATTTGAGCAAGAGCAAAGATTTATAAGTTTTTCTACTTCCTGTGACTTCTTCACCTTTTGGCAAAGATCATGTGTAGTATCTGTTCTTACTAGTTTAATATATTTTTTTCTATTTCTTATAGTTGCTGCTCTAACCTTTTTTCTCCTTTTGATGAAAATTTGATTAAGAAATCAAAGCAAGCTTATAGCCTGTGAAATCTTCAAGTATAGAATATGACTCTAAGAATTCAGTCCTTTGTTTTTTCAAGCATCAAGTACAATGTCTTTGTCAAGTTTGAACTTGCAGTGAGCTTTAATGACATCACTACACACTAACCTGGGCAGTTAACTGAGTGAGACCCTGTCCCCTCAAAAAAAACAAAAAAAGAACTGAGAGAACTCATCATAAGTAAACTTACTTTACAATAATTACTGTACTAAAGAGAGTCTTTTTTGATGAAGGGAAGGACATAGTAAATTGAAACTATGAGAAAAAATAAGAACACAAATAAAGGTAAATACATAGGAAAATATGAAAGACAGAATAAATATATTGTTTGAAATTTCTTTTTCCCCTATCTGATTTAAAAGACAACCACATAAAGCAATAATTGTGAATTTATGTTTATGGGCACACAGTGTGTCAAGATGTATTTTGACAATACAAATGAGGGGATAACGAATCAAGTGTTTGTATGTTATTGAAAAAAATGAAGGATTCTTGTCAGAAGTAGGTTGTAGAATGACACTTTCCAACAGTGTACATGTTTTATGAGTACAGGCGGTTCTCGTTGTTCCCTGTATTTCCAGAACATCACAAAGAAGACTGGATTGGTGAACATTGAACCATTGCTTTTAGAGGAAATAAAGGATTAGGTTTCTCTGAACTGCTCTTCATGGCATTTTCATCCACCAGTCAGTATGTGACCCTGTTTTTTGTGTTTCTGTTTAAAGACCTCTTCTTTTACTATACATACACGCATGTATAAAGTCAGTTCTTTCACTCATCACTAGCTCATCACTAGTGAGCTATATAACTCATACTGGAATGAAGCTTATCTCACATACATGTTATCTCTGTAAGGCACATCACAGCCCTCTCGCACCTTAGAACACTTCAGTTTACCAACTTGGGAAATATTTTAAACAGTGGAGTTACTAATGAAAAGTATACAGATGCCAAGAACATGATACTAAATAAACAACAAAAAGGATGCTTGTTTATAAGTGTGAGAGATGAAACAAGTTAGAACATCTCTTTATATTCAATCTTAGCTGAGAACATTTATGTCAAGCCACTAAAATTTTTTTCCACTCTGAGCATATCCACGCATGACTAAAAAAGCACTAATTTGGGAATTACAAATAAATTTTAACAAGCAAGAAAGTTAACAAATATGAAATTGATGAATAATGAGTAAAATGATGATCAGCAATCTTACACTTTAATAATAAGTCTGTTTTCTTAAAAAAAAAAAAAAAAAATTTAGGCTGTGCCTGTGGCTCAAAGGGCGCCAGCCCCATATGCTGGAGGTGGTGTGTTCAAACCCAGCCCCAGCCAAAAACTGCAAAATAAAAAAAACTTTATGGTAGACCAGAAAAATGCATAGTCATAGATTAATCAATTTATAGAAGTGTTTAACTCCTTAAGACTTAAAGAATGCATTGACTTTCCACTGGCATTGAGCTGTATTATAGTAGAAGTGGGACTAGAACTTAGGCAGCTCTTGGTCCATGTGGAAAGTCCCCACTCCACTTCAGTGTGGTGATCCTTAGCCCCTTACACTGTGTTTTCCTGCTTGTTTTTTCCTTAATGATATCTGCAAGTAATAAATAAGATCTCTTGGATTGTCTTTGTAGAAATACAAATGAGACAAAATTTGCTGGAAAGTGGAATTAATAGTAGTAACTTAATTTTCATCCCCACGTTTAGCACTATCAGTCCACTCAATTGAAGTTTTGCTTCCTTACAAACAGGTCATTACGGCAAAAGCATTCCTTAGAAGCCGATGAATGTGCACTCTGCTGGAAAACCAGAAGAGTCGTTGTGGCTGCCTGTCAGCTTCCTATTAGATTAGGAATTTACTTTTTAAAGACTGCATTTTTGTTCCACTGCTTTTAATGTATAATTTACATCAGCACAACTTCTCATGTCCACAAGATGTCACTAAAATCAAAACTTAAATTGCAAAAGTTTACAATTTACAAATAACTTTTGTGTTTTAAGAGTTAATTTCTACTTGGCTTAATAAGCATTTATTAAGCATGTATTATGGACTGATAATTGCTAGAAACACAGTTATTTGAAAAACTCATTGACCTATAATTTCTCAGAAAAATGATGTTATAAATGGAAGTCATAGTTCTAGGAATGGCTATAATATTTAACCAATAATATATCTGAACATATGTGTGCGGTATTAAACTATTTCTCAAATGGACCTTTGTAAAGCATTATAGAAAACTTTTCCATTTATAAGGGGTTTTAAGTATCTGTGTAACAAAGACATTTGTACCCCTTAATATTTTGAATTAAAATAAATTTTAAAATTTAATAATGAAACTTTGTATATTTATTTAACCTAACAGAAATTTAGACAGAAACAATTGTATCATATCCAGGGTTACAGTCTTTTAAATACTGACTTTTGTGTTAATGTTAATGCAATTAAAGAAATATTTAATTTCTGGTTAGTTTTATTTGAATTTAGTAGAAAAATGCTTTTTAGAATTATCTAATATTTTCTGTAAATGTCAAGGAAACTTTTTTTTATATTAGATGTTCACATGTTAAGTTTGAAAGAATTTGATTTTCATTTGATTTGTGGTGTTGTGTCTAATGTCTCTTCAGAGATCCTTTTTGTTCTCTATAAATGTTTTTTGAGTGTCTCAAGATGCTTTGTGCAGGTCTATAGCCTACCACATTTTAAAAATAAAATCTGTTTTAGTGGAAAGTTTAAAGATGAATTTTTCCTCTAAATGGTGACACAGAAAGAACCTGAACTCTGTGTTAGGGAACTTGGTGTGTGAGCTCTGCCAAATCCCTTAATCTTAATGGACCTTCATTTCTTTGGCTGTACATGTCTGCATGAAAGCTAAGGTAGTTTCAGCATTTTGAGAGTCTATCTGATACCTTCTTACCTTATTTATTTGCTCTTCTGGTGCATTTGCCCGACTGCCTCGGTAGCCAACCACGTGTCATTTTTAGGAACTTTTGTCCCTTAATTAATCAAATAATGTCAACTACCCTTTCTAGCCACTAACAGCAGGCTTCCCAGGCCTCATTCCTTCCCACCTTTGTATTTCTTTGCACTCTAGTGATGAAATCCTACTTGCATTATCCTCTTTTCTTTATCTTTGTCCTGTAAGGCCTATGAACTTCTCTATGAGAAATCTGTCATTCAAATTCAGAGGTCTGCATAAAATATTATAATGTAATCTTTAGTTTGCATTATACATTTTTTTCTTAAGCTTCTAGAATCTTTTAAAGTTTTTTTTTCTACTAGTTGGGTAGACATTTAAGAAATGTTTCTGATTACTTGATTTTATCATTTATAGCAAATCATGTGACTACATGTTTCTTTCTAGTTTGTTTTTAGATGAACAGTCAGAGATACTTTTTACTAGAAAATTAATGCTATATTTATACACACACACATACTTATATATATTTTGATTTTCAGGTCATCTGTTAAGTATGCTTATAGAGCATAGTTGAGAGTGGCAGTTTAAATTTAACTACTATAGTTAAATGCAGTTGGATAAAACTTTCCACAGTAGTTTAGCATAAGATCATAGTGCTCTATTGTTCTCTAAATTTACAAAGAATAATAATCAGTTGTAACACTTCACATTTGTTTTCAATTTACCAGTTGGTAAAACATACGTTTTCTATATCTGTAGACGTATTATTTTCATTTTCTCTGTCATTTTTAAAGGAAAATTTGTATCAGATATTTAAAGGTACTTTATATAAAAATTTTCAGTGAAATATAATTATTAGTGGGGAGAATAATGGGAATAATAGTTTGCCTTTAAAAACACACTGTTGTTATTGGCATCTTTATTAAATTTCTTTTACCTGCCAGTGCTGAGATTTTCCAAATGGCCAGCCAACTTTTTCTATACTTAAATATTATGTGAAAAAGTAACAGAAATCTCTTAAAGGATTCTTAATATTATACTGTGACTTGCTTTTTATTTTTTAATGTGTTGTTTGAACTCTGATAAGCTTTAGAAATAATCAAGGCCACTTTTTATTAAGATTAGGTTTTCATACAATAATTTTTGTTATTTCTTGTTAAATCTAGGTGACTGTGGAGATCATGTTGTCATTGTGAACACAAGACACATTGCATTTTCTGGAAACAAGTGGGAACAAAAAGTATACTCCTCACATACTGGGTAAGAATACCATTGTGGAGGGAAATAGGTAGTTACAATGTGTTACTTTAATACAATTACTCTTATTTAAAAGAAAAAATATTTTTGAAAAGTTGGAATATAAGAAAATACTAATTTTACTTACACTGCATATGTGATTTACTAAATCAAAGAAACCCTCAACGCTATATCAAATACTAGCTACTACCTGATAGTATTTTTTATCCTAAAAGCTTTGGATCCTCTGATCAAGAGTATTCTTATTTTTTTAGTCAGTCTTCTTTCTGCTTATAATTCATCTTAATCCTATCTTTAGAATTAGCCTAAACATCTGAAAGTCCACAAGATATTTAAGGAATGGTTGCTGTTCTCTAGATATAGTCTTCTTTTTCAAAAGTTGACTTAGGTAAATGTATTCCTGTGTTCTAACGGTTTACTAGTACAATGGGTCGCCTAAGTCTTTATCAAGTATGCTCCTGTTGAGTGATGTCTTCTCCTTCCTGTGTGCTTTAGTTGTATTTTAATCCAGTTGCAGGGTCTTAAGTTCACCACGTGTTACATTTTACCACCAGCATTTAAAGATCTTTTGAGATCCTTATTTTGTCATCTAATGTATTAGTTAACCTACAGCTTAAGGTCATGTGCAAATTTAGTTAAGTATACTTTCAAATTAAGGTATGGTTAGAAATGTTGATCTTTCGTTCTTGATCAAAATCATTCTTATATTTCCAACTGTACCTTTACTTTACTTTTTTATTTCTTGCCCTAGTGCATCTTAAATGTTTGGTATAACTCCTCTGCTTCCTTGAGCCAGCCCTTGCCTATTCCTCCCCTTCAAACACACTCAAACACATTCGTCAAATCTTTATATAACTTAACAAAACCGAATTCACATCTGTCTTTAGTAATTGCTGCTATTGGCAAATCTCTATGTATAAATCAAGTTGTATAAAATTGAAGGATGATCAGTAAAGAAATTTGAAAAGTTAGAATAACATGGTGTGATACAAGAATAAGGGGGAGTATTGACACCAAATGCTATGGTAATTATAACAATAATATCTGTAATATTACTACAAGTGAAGGACAATAACAGCACAGCTGATAGTGAACAGCTAGTGTAATATCAGCTGGTAATGTCCCTAGCAGTCGAGCTTTCTCACCAATAGATGAAAATTCAAACTCCTTTACAAGCTTATTGGCACCTAGTTGCCACTGCTGCTGTTTATCCCTCTTTTTAGCCAACATGGGCTGTTTCTGACTTCTCTGCCTTTGCATATGTTGTTCCTTTGACTGGAATGCCATAACACCCTGTTTCGTAGGAACACTCCTATTTATCCATTAAAAATTGGCTAAGATGTTCTCTTTTCTGAGCTATCCACCCTATTTCCTAATTACCCGTAGGGTTGATTGCTTTTTGTTTCTGGACATACTGTTTCATTATGTTCATAACACTATATTACCATTATGTATTCTAAATATAACTTTCTAGTTGTAAAATTTTTACTACATGCTAATTTTAGAAAATATAGAAAAGTTCAAAGGAGGAACTGAAGTTCACCAGACTTACCATTTTAACATGCAGTCAGTCCCCTGTATCCATGGGATCTGTATCCGTGGATTCAATCAGAAAATATTTCTTTTATTTTAAATTGCATTTATACTGACTGTGTACATGCTTTTTTGTGTCATCATTCCCTCAACAGTACAGTGTAACAACTGTTTACATAGCATTTACATAGTATTGGGTATTATACGTAATCTCAAGATGATATTTAAACATTCAGGAGAATGTGCACAGGTTACAAAGCAAATTCTGTGCCGTTTTATAACAGGAATTTGAGCATCTAAAGATTTTGGCATCCACAGAAGATCCTGAAACCAATGCATAGATATTGACAGGTGACTTTATGTATAAGTTTATATACTTTTTCACTTAATGTACTTCCAGGCGTTAGTTTACTAATGCATAAGAGCATGCAAGAATGTTTCGTTTCCCCAATCTAATAAGGCTTTGCTATTTTGATATGCATCTGGTTTACATTTCCATTATAATGAGGTCTCTATGCTTTCCTTATTACTTTTGAAGAACATTTATTAAGAATAGTGATCAACTATTGAAGTTTTTACTTTTTATAAATTTTCTTCATGATGTTATTTACTATGCTTTAATTTGGGTAGATTGTCTATCTTTTCTTTTGTAATTTCTTCTGCTTTCCAATCTCAGAAAATTATTTCTTGTACAGATTTTCATAAATATTCATTTCTAATATTTTTAGGGGTTGGATGAGTTTGAAATGTGTGCATCTTGAACTTTCACATCTGATTCTTTAGTCATCTAAAAATGTATTGGCACTAGAAATACAGCTTTAAACTTGTTGCAGCAACAGAATTTACTTAGTCATTTTTTTTCTTTAAGCTCAGCACCTGTGGCTCAAGTGGCTAAGGCTCCAGCCACATACACCTGAGCTAGTGGGTTTGAATCCAGCCCAGGCCTGCCAAACAATAACGACAGCTGTAACCAAAAAATAGCTGGGCATTGTGGTGGGTACCTATAGTCCCAGCTACTTGGGAGGGAGAGGCAGGAGAATCACTTGAGCCCAGGAGTTGGAGGTTGCTATGAGCTATGATGCCACAGCACTCTACCCAGGGCAACAGCTTGAGACTCTGTCTCAACAAAAAAAAAAAAAGAAGAATAGGATTTTGTCATTTTATGTCCCCAGTACCCAGAATGATAAGGCATTCAATAAGTGTTTATTGAATTAATTTGCATTAAAAACCCTTGGCTAACATTTAAAACGAATATTTTATTGCTCCATCCAGGTTATCCTATATTGGAGAAAGAAATATAGTTATTTTTTTTTCACTAGTAGAAGTCACCTAAGTAGTGCATTACCCTAGTCATTCTCCTATTCAGAATTTTACATTCTTTTCAGATAATTCAGGATAAACTCCAAACTCCTGAAATACAGTATTACTGGCATTGTGCTTTAAAATTGCCATCCCAGTGTTAAAAACAGAGAGATGATCTTTAGCATAGAAGTTTTAGTTTTGTCTATGGAGAAAAAGAATATGGGAATAGAAGTTTAGACTGTTTTTCTAAAACTGAAATTCTGTGAAACAGAAGAATATCAGTTTGAAAATTACCCATCTCTTTCAGCAAACTTCTAAATATGATTTCTTAACTTTGATACCTACAATGTGGTTCCTTAAGTCATCCATAGCATGTTTTCCAATTTTGTCAATAGAAACATATGGAAGAAATCTCACTTAAGTAATCTTAAGGTTTCATGCAGAGTTTATGATACCTTTCTGTTTTCTTTTTTTTTTTTTTTTTTTTTTTTTTCTGTGAGCAAAATCATGTGTAGAGAGGTAAAATTAGGTGCCTGATATTATACTGGGAGTCACTGCAAAAGCTAGATTCCAGACCTGGTCTGAACTTGACTTCAGAACCAATTAGTCTACCAACATTTTCTTCAGACCTGATTCCCCAGTTTATGCAGGAAATTTCTCTAATTTGGCAGAGAACAGGAAATATTCTGGCCCACTACTGTTTCTTTCTTAAATCAAGCAGTGATAAACTACCTTATAATTATAATGAATGAATAACTTAAATTCAGACAGGAATATAGTTATGCCAAGAAATTTTTCCAACACATAGAGCTTTTTATGAACTAATGATAGTTGACAGAGAATAGCATTTCTAATATTACAGATTACTAATGGACAACACTAATGAAAAGCATAGTTTCCAGAAACAATTTATTAAATTAGTTTTCTTCTTATAAAAAATGATTGGTTTAAGAGTATAGTAGCATAGCTTATGCCCAGTTGTAATGTCTTTGCTTCTTTTAACAGCTACCCAGGAGGATTTAGACAAGTAACAGCTGCTTGCCTTCACCAAAGGGATCCCGTGGCAGTAAGTCTGTTGTATTTTGTATTTCTCATCTGTAGAAAGACCAAAGACACTTGTTACGTCAATCTCCTTTCTCTTCTAATACAGCTTGGATTCGAGGGTATAAATTTTTTACTTTAGTTGTATCATACACAATTTTTGATAAGTATTATTTTCATTATTCAATTCTATGTATTTTCTAATTACTATTTATTAGTTTTGCATTCAAAGAATTCTGATGCTTTTTAGTTTTTTGACACTTGCACAATCACCTGGTATGTGCTGAGTTCACCAAAAATGCCCTAGGATCGGGTAGAGCAACGGATGTATATATGTATGTGTATGTGTAAATGTTTTGTCACACATGCTAAGTATGTCGTTATATGCTTACTGATTTCTTGTTAACTTCATTTTGTTGATCTAAAAGAATATTTTTATTATTATTTATTATTAAAATCTCATAGATTAGGTTTTTGTTTTTGTTTTTGTTTTTTTTAATCATAGGTCTGTCAGTTTTTGCTTTGTGTATTCTCAGTGTTTAGTTTTAGACAAATTTAAGATTGGAATTATAAGCATTCTGAAAAATTGACTGGGGCTGATATGTAGTGATCCTGTTTCTCTCCAATCATGCTTTTTGCTGTGAGGTCTATTTTTTCTGATATTAATATAGCTGCATCAGCTGCCTTTGGGTTAGTGTTTGCCTCATATATGTATATTATTTTCCATTGTTTCAACTTTGCTGGGTCCTTTTCTTCAGATGGGTTTGTCGTAAATAACATATAGCTAACGCATGGGTTTGGATTTCTGACAGGCCTGAACCTGTGGGCTTGTCATAGTGGCCCATGCCAGAGCAAACTGGCCCCGAACCATTGCCTGGCCTCTACCTATAGGCTGCTGGCACTGAAGTGGGTCGTACAGTGAAAAAAAGGAAAAAAAAAAAAACATATAGCTAGAACTTTTTTTTCCCTCTTCTTTCTTGCCTTCATTCAGATGGATTGGATTTGTTTATTGTGTGTCTCGGGTTATTTATTATCTTTACTCTCTTGCAAGTCAAATGAAGGTCTTTGGAGATTCTTGTACTCATCCTCCCTCCCTAACTATATACTGCCTCTGTTCAAAAACTTTTAAAGCCATTCCAGTTCAACAACATTCTTGTTATTGTTTTGCCCTGGTATTGACTTTTTATGATTTTCTTTGCTTACAATTCTTTCTTGTAACTCTTCTTTCTAGGTCAGGATAAATTTCCTTCTCCCTGAAGTACTTCCCATGGGCATTTCCGTAGCCACATTCTCCTAATAGTAAACTTACTTTTCTTGTCTGAAACTATCTTTACTTTTGCTTTCATTCCTGAAAGGTGCTTTTGCTGTATATAGAATTCTAGTATAGTCATTTTTTTCTCTCAGATTTTGAAGCTATTAATGGATTTTTACCTTCTATTATTGCTGTTGATAAGTTGGATATCAGTGTAATTATTTGTTTATACATAGTCTGTCTTTTCGTACTGGATGGTTTAAGCTGATTTCTTTGGCATTGTGGTCTTATATATTTTTATTTGAGTATTGGTGTGTTCACTTCTGGATTTATTAGCTCTACTATTTTTTTCTTTTTGGAAATCAGATTTTACTTCCAGTGGATGGTCACATTTTATTGGGCATGATTCAGTCCACCTCTTCCATATTTGGTGTCTCATCATCTTTGTGCTGCATTCTCCATAATTTAGCCCTGTGTTCCCATTGTCTAATAACCTTTTCACTTGTGTCTAATCTGATTAAACTTTTTATTGAGGTCCTAATTTCAGTTACCTTTTTGTGAAGTGTTATTTTTTTGGTTCATTTTCAGATTTGCTGGTCTGGAAATAGCATTGCAGAATATAGCATTTTCTCTCTTCAGTTTTGAGTCTCCTGTTCCTTTGTCATATTTTGGTTCTCTATGATATTTCCTTACACAAAATAAACAGTTCTTAGCATTTATAACTGATTCTAATATTTGTGGTTTTGTGGCTCTGCAATTTATTATTTCTGCTCACTATACCTGGTAAGCTCATGTTTCTTGGAACTTTATATCTGGGAATTCTTTTCAGACCTATGTTAAAAATAAATTTCTTCACATAAGATTTAATTTGCTTATGGTAAGTAGGCCACATCAACCTAAGACTTCTTTAACATAAACTTGAAATTTGTACAATTTTGGACCTCAAAGCCTCATGAAGTCAGTTTGGTATCATGCTTTAAAAGTATTTTTATATGAGAAATTACTTAATGGGTACATTGTACATTACTCAGAAGATAGATACCTACAAGCCCAGATTTTACCACTATGTGATATATCATGTAACAAAACTGTACTTAAATTTGTACAAAGAAATTTATACAAGGAAACAAATTGTTCATAACAGTATTTTTATAGACAGTATTACTAATTTCACAAATGTTGATTACTTTTAAGTAATAATACTTAGAGTTGTTATCCACGTCTTAGTTCTCAAAATTGCTGAAAACAGAATCTCCCATTGTTATTTTATAATTTTTTTTCCTTCCTTAACTCTTGATAGAACTGACCTTTGAACTATACTCAAAGGATAGAGAACATTTTCCCCATTGGAGACTATTTATCTTTTTATTTAAGTATATTCCTAAATAAATAAAGTGTTATTAGACTCTGAGATATTCTTTTATTTCCCTAAAGTAGTGAATGAAAATACATATCTATTGTAAAGATGCCACCATTTGTTTGGTGTAGTATTGCATAAAATTTTCTTGATAAAGTAGAGGAAAGGAGTACTTTATTATTCCTGACATACCATTTAGATTACAAGGATCCTCAAACTTTTTAAACAGGGGGCCAGTTCACTGTTCCTTAGACTGTTGGAGGGCCGGACTACAGGCCCTAGGACAAGTCGCCTGCTAAGCAGAACAGGCAACAGCAGCAAAAACACCCAGTAGGCAGGATAAATGTCCTAGGTGGGCTGCATGTGGCCCGTAGGCCGTAGTTTGAGGACACCTGATTTAGAAGTTCCATGCTTTACTATATATTTTGTATCATTTATGTCCATCTTATAAAAATGTACTCAAAGATTGCTTCTCAGGAAATACTTAGCATTCTGTTTCATAACTAGTGTGTTTTTAAACTTTACAAGTCAAAGTATTCTATTTTGACTATTAATAAGATTTCCATATAACAGTATTAAAAGTAGTAAGGGCTTCTGATAATATATGCCATAGCTGTTCTAACAAATTATAGTTTTAACATTTATAAATATTTTCAATGTGTTTACAATTAAAGTTTCTATTTTATTCAGATTTGTTAACTATACACTAGGAGGCAGTATAGTCCAACTTTTTAAATGTTAAGAATTTGGCATTGGATAGTATTTGTAGAAATTGTTACAAATTATTGTTTTGTATGAATTTTGATGAAGGCTTAGGAAGTATTTTTAAATTCATTTGAATCATTACCTCATTAAATGATTTTTTTTTAAAAAAAGTCTTAACTTTGACTTTGTTTTTTGAGAAAGATTGACTTGTAAAGTAAGAGGTCAGTTATTTTTATTTCCAATTCAAACACTGTCTGGAGTAGTTGGCCGTTGCCTATAGAAGTAATTAGCTAAGTAGTACTTGGTGCATGTAACTTGTCAGAGAATTTGTTTCAGAATGCTATCTTCTGATTACTAGTCTTGGATTGGATGACAGTCTTGGATTATTATTTGTAAAGTTTGTTAATTAATATTTAATAGCTAAATAAGTGATAGTAATTTGTTAACTCTTAAAATTTTTTCTTAACGATATAGGAGATTGCTAATTCTAGTTTCAAATAAATACGTTGATTCAGCTCTCTCCATGTGTCATTTATCTCTCTGCCATGTATTTTAGTTTCTTTAAGAGTTTCTTTGTCGGCTCGGCGCCTATAGCTCA